TTATGCGTTGTTAATATAAAATGTCAAGAGAATTAGGAGCTCATGTAGTGTCGTTTTGCGAACATTACATTGGTACCTTTAGTGTCTTTGAGTACTGCATGGTACCGTATAGTGTCTTTGCCGGTACCACGCTGTACCATGCAATGTATTTATGAGTACCACATGGTACCATGTCGTCTCTTAGTGGGTAACATAAAATTACCACGAAGTGTTTTAGCAGACACTGTTACAATACTATCATATGGATTTCATATAAGTACCGCATCATAGCATTCTGGCCATGATATGATAATATTCATATTGTTTATGATGGATGCTTGGCTCTTTGGTATGATATCTTTATTTTTCACTATTTGAAAATAATTCTGCATGCTAAATAATTTCCTGTTATGATGTATTTACAGTTTAGTACCATACGGAAATTTTCGATTTTTGCAGAGGAACTCAGCGTCCAAGGACAAAGTTAATGGCCATGACATATACATACACACACATACACACATACATATATACATTTTAATGTACACAGACAAACACACACACACACACACACACACACACACGATATTTTTAATACGGAATGCACGAAATATCAATCGAATGGAATCGAGATAAAGTACCATTGCATTCGTCAAAATATTCGGTAGGGTGGTTTGGTGCATACATATGTGTATGTGTATATGTCTGTGTGTGTGTATGTATGTGTGTGTATGTATGTACGTATATATATGTATGTATGTATATAAGTTTGTATGTGTACTAAATTTGAAAATTTTATCAAATAAAATAGGTCGGCATTATTGAATTTAGTTCTGATCATCATCATAATAATGGTATAAATTTAAAGTACCAATAAATACATATATGATTGGGGAATTGATAACCGAATTACCTAATTGCAATTATAGGGCAAATATGCAGGGAAAAATAGTTCTAATAATTCGGGATGAATAATTTACTACAAATATATATTTCATGTATAATTAATATTGATGAAGTACTGTTTAAGCAATTATGAGTGGAGTAGAGTAGCGGATAAGTAACTAAAACAGAAATACAGATGTATTCAATTTTTTAATCTTTGAAAACTTATTATTGGCATGTTAAATTGTTGAATTGCATTATATCAATGTCAGTTGTAAAAAAAAAAAGTTGCTGGATTTCGTTTTTTTTTTTCTATCCATGAGAATTTCAGGAAATATGAATCCGGTGGGCGCTAAATACAATGGAAACGGTAAATAATAAGATGGATACTTTGAATGCTTTAAATACGACAGAAGATTATGGTGAACCGGTTTATGTTGAAGCGCATGGTGGCAAGAATCATGTAATAATGTATCGTTCAAGAACCAACCCTGAATTAGCTATTGAATTCTTTTTCCGGTTCGTATTATCAGTGTGTTACCACTTATGTATATCCACAAAGGTTTGGATTTCAGGATCGAAAGGAATTTGTTATGGTTTTCGTATTTTCTTTTCAAGTTTGCTGACGAATCAAACAAGCAAACAGTGATATGTTATCTTTGCTTTGATCTTCCAGCCCTTCTCGACCAAAAAAAGTGGCTGTTGTTCTATTTCATAAACTTTTAAATAATTTCAATTATATGACATTAATTTTCTCCTTAAAATAATTTCGGAAAATGTCAATTTTTAGTTCATCCTCCAAAGATGGTCGCTCACGTTACTATCGTTGCACGAAATGTTGGTATAAATATAAATTGAACCGTGGTACGTGTGCGACATTGATTGTTCGAGATGGCCGTATTATAACTGATCCAGAAAATCCGGTGGTACCGCACCAATGCGAATTTCGATCTTTGGAAAGTGTGAAAGCAAATCGAGCCTGGATTGCAAGCCGGAAACGAACAGCAAAAAGTTCAAGTTTGGAAGATTTATATGCATCTGATACTCCTGCTCCATGCACTAGTGGGTTAGTTGTTTTCTTTATCTTCATCTGTTGAAGTGTAAGGGTTTTATTTGTAGTACTTTTCAAATTCTTTACCTTTTTCATTTCCATTGTTGGGGATTATCTTGAAGTAAGCGAAATTTATATTATGTAAAACGGAAGTACTTTAACATCTTATGGATTACTATAAATTTAACATGAGATTACTATAAATTAATAGTATAATCAGGTTAGTAATCAATCATACTATTATATTAATATAATTCTGTATTTTGATGATACTGTAGAAGTATCAATCGTCATAGTATTTAAATATTCTTGACATTCCTTTTGTATTATTATAGTATTACAGTTTCGAGAAAATATCCTACCTGTCTTTTGATGCATTATATCATGATATTGTTATTATAATTCGAATTATTTTTTATTTATTGCAGTAATCCAAAGCTTACTCCTTTTTTTCAATTTTAATATACAAAAAAATTCTCGGAATATTATCCTTTCATCCAATCATTGGACAGAAATCGTTAAAAAAGAATTCTCCATTACTTTGTATAATTTCATTACAGCATATATTATCATGATATAGAAATAATGTTTACAGTTAGGTAATATCATGCATTGTTAACTACATGATGCCATCAATTTAGAAACTTTCAAAATTTCCTGTGTGTTAGATAAATGAACTGACCGAAATGATTATGTCAGATATTTTGTAACGTTAAAGTAAATGGATGATTTGACAAGAATCTGAGAGGATAAGCAATATGCAGTTACTTGTATCCGATATGTAATAGTTTGAATTCAAATTGTTTGTATCTGGAATGAATTCGATCATTCGAATGGTACTTTTTGAAGGATATTTTAAATTAATTTAGCTATTAAGTTAGATGATAAATCAGTCTGCTCAAAATGTTCAATTAGCCTTATGGCAGTATGTAAGTGATTTGCATTTAAACGATTAATTGCTTGTTTCAATCATATCGACAATTTTTAATGAGGTTCCAATATAACATTTCAAGAACTTTCGTTAGAAAGAAATAAAAAAGTTCGAAATTAAACTTTAAAAAAAAGACATAATATAAAGAAGAAATGGAAATCATTCCAAAATGTAATGATTTGCGGTTTTTCATAAACCATCCCATCGGAGTTGTGTACCTCTGTTCATGGTTTCAAGGCTACTTTGTTTTAGTACATTTTTTTTTTTCTCATATTGGTGCTGCTGTAGGCCTCGGGTAGGGTTGGCGTAGGCTTACTTTTATATCAGTGGGTTTCTGTTTTGCATGCCTTTACATGACATATTTCACATGCAAGCATTCCTTTTACATATAAAATAACGTTAATTAAAAAATTGATGCTTCAGCATCACCTTTTTCATTAACGTTATTTTTCATTCTTCATGATTATCTTTTACATATTGTATATTTTTTGTCCGCAACTTGCAATTTTTCAAATGTAGTTAAAGAAGGCTCGATGAGTCAGTTTTTCACATGACATATTGATAATAAATGTACTCATATTTGTAGTACTTTTCGTATCCTCTCTTTCGTTCATTTTTACCTGATGATTGAAATAGATCATTTTAGTATTATCATTGTTATCTCACATTGTTACTTCTCCTTATCCCCTTTATAAAGTCATTGTGTAATTGAGTATCGAATTTTCATATTAATTATTTATCTGCTTCTACTTTACCTAGCTTATTTGGTTTTTACTTTAGTTTCACTGAATTGCATTACTTCACTGTTTTTGCTATATTCTATTATTTAATCTTCTAAAATGAAGTGAGACAAATACCTACAGGATTTTAATTTACCAAAAAAAAATTCGTGCTGGCTTAACAGATCTTTATTTGTTTTATTTTTATACTGATATTTTAGACTTAATCTTCGCGAAGTCTTGGAAATTTGGGCTGAAGATTCAAATACAGGAATGAGTAACGCTGAAAGTGTAGATGAAAAAGTGGAAAGTGGTGGTGAAACTGGAGGTACCAGTACTCCATCGTCAACATCATCAAAAAATGGCAGAAATCTTGATGGTTATATTTTGTTTCACATTGTTTTGATTATAATGGATAAGTTTATCATACACTGAAAAACTCAGGAACTATACTTTTTCTAGGTTTAATTTTTGAGTTTTTAGTTTATAATGGATCGAATCTTAGAATTGGATTTTGATTTTTACTGCGAGTTTTTTCTTGGTAAATTGTATTGCAAATTCGGCATTTCTTACTGGGCTCTATTCTGATTTTATCTTTTTATGACACTTCAAAGTTTGTTTCAAGATAGTAATTTCAGATAATCCGGTATGGGCAAGAATACGAGAAAGGATCACCGGAGTTGATAATATTGACTTGGCATGCGAAGGTATATGTCGGAGAGTTTATTTAATAGTGTATCAATAAGAATGAAAATTTTTTGGATAATTTTCTGCTGTTTTAGTTACGCTTAGTCAAATATTTGTTGATTACCGTTACTAATCGTAGAATATGAAAAGAGTAGAAAGTTAATGGCGCATTTTTTCATGCGCTAGTTTACGCATTCTTGGAAATGCCGAACTTCTGTGTGTATCCAGTCATGGGAAATTCAGTCATTTTCTGTTGGCAAAGTGCACATTTATAGTTTTAAGAATTGTTTAAATTTTCGTATTCCTGCAAAAAAGAAATAAAATGGATTTGTTAACTATTTTGCTGTGATATAGCGAAGCGTATTTTTCAAAAATTTTAGAATCTATGGGATTATCTTCACCGTCTGGCTCACCATCACCAAGTTACAAATTTCCAAATATAGACGAGGATACAGCAGGTTCTTCCGCGCAACAGTTTTCTATTGGTATACATCCCCGAGATATAAACTTTTCTTTTTAAGAGGGTTTATTTACTATAAGCTAGAGATCACTAAGCAAATACTGACTTCGGGATTATATATAATTTGGATAGCTATATGAGAAACATTATCTTATGGACTTGGAAATCTCACATTTGTTTTTAGGTTCGAATAAATCAGGAAGTGAAATGAAGTTTTGAAAGGAATTTTTACATACTTTTGTTTTGATTTTCTTTTGATCTGTCATCTGTTTCTTAATTACATTTTTTTTTCACCCATCTGTTATACAAGTACTTCGTACGTTTGAAAAAAAATCTGAAAAAATGAAGTCCAACCTTAGTTCGGAACATCAGATGAACATGTTTAATCGTAATAGTAGAGTATTTGACAAATGATATTCAGAAGTACAGCAACAGTGCAAATTAAATGTTGACACTTAAAATTTGAATTACTTCATTTTTGCAGAAACAAACGCTGATATGGCCGAAGGCACGGAACAGAATAGCTGTTTGGATGATGCATTCACAACATCAATGTTGAAGAAAAATGATGAAGCACTGGGAAAGCTGCAACAAGCGATTGACAACTGCGAAAATTTTGACATTGGTAAATATTTATAGAAGTAGATATAAAGCAATAGTCTGGATTGAGGTGTTTCTGAATCTCTTATACTAGTTAAAGTTGAGGTTGCATTAAAATTCTGATTTTTTGGATTCTAAGGAAATAGAATGTATAAAGTTGATTGTTTAGGTGAAATTTTTACTGATTAAGATATGTACCAATTATTCATATTTATAGGTTAAAAATCGCTGAGCATCTTTTACTATAATCAAAGTCAATGGTTTAATGGTCAAGTTAAAGTATATGGTTAGACTGTTGTCTGTAGGTTGTTCGGTAAATATGAATTTTGATATTTTAGTCTCTAAATTAAAATATTGGATTTTGCAGATGATGTTTCCTTAGTGGACAATGTTTTTGCGTACAAATTTAACAATACAACGGATGTACAAGATAAAATTGCTATTTGTGAAGAGTGGCTATGTTTCTTGGCAAAAATCACTCCTATTGCCACATCTCGATGGCTTTCACATTATCAGTTCAGCATTTACTATACATTTCACATGGTAAGGGGTTAATTATACATTTCCTTTTTTCTAGAGATTCTTTCCACAAAGCTGTCAGAATGGCTAATCTACATTTTGCAGCGGTGAGCTTGTAGTATGAGACACGATTACATGTGTTATAGCCTATGATATTCGGAGAATCTGTAAGAATCACATATACTTCGGAAGCATTTTAAGAGGTTATCGTGTGTTCTTCTGGAGCATTTTAAGACATTATCGCGTGTTCTTTAGCAGATAATAAAAAGTTTGAGCTATCGATAGCCTAAAAGGCGAATGACTGATTAAACAAATTCAGTAGAAGGAATTAATTCGACATATTGCTAAATGGCCGGTCTTATCCTGAATATTCCTGCTGTCCAGTTTTTAGAAATTCCAGTTTTCTGTCATTGTGGGATTTTTTTCAGCTGGCGCTCGTTTTTCGACATTATGAAAACAGAGATGAAAAGAAGCGTTTTTATAAAATTTCACTGCCTCTATTCAAGTAAGTGGTTATACTAGGACTATAATCTTTTATGTATTCATGATAGTAGATAGTTTGGAAATTTAAAGACTTCGGACTTTCACTTAATTGGTTCATTTTCCATTTATAGATTGAGCGTCTGACTTATTATAGGAGTTTATTACAAGCAACAAATTTAATACCAGAGACTTCCGAGGAAATCGTAAATACGAAACTGGATGTACTGCTGAGTATTTCTTTTATTGCCGTGCAATTTTATGATGTGAGCGACCAGGAAATTGTAAAATACATAGAGGTAAGCTGATGGCCGTCTAATGCTTTTTCGGAAAAAAATTTTTTTTTTTTTTTTGCAATGGATGATTGTGTAAAGCTATTTGCATCATCATTCTATCGTTATCATGTTCAACATATAGCAAGGAGGTGAAAAAAGAGGATTGGTCGTTCTATGTTAATATCAAGAGTATACATCGTTCGTTTTTTTTTTTTACGATGCATACATTGTCCGTTTTTTTTATTTCATATTGTTATTATCGTTTAGCAGTAGTTTCCAGTTAAATTACTTTAAGGAGTTGAAGAGCTGCTTGATATAGTATTTTTTAATGGATTTGTTTTCAATACTTTTATCTTTTAGCGAGAAATGCGTTCTGTCGGAGATTCGGTGGCGGGAAATTATTCGTCGGAAGCAGCAACGCTGATGGTGCAGAAGGTTTTCCGAATAAGTAATAATTTAGAAGAACGCAAACGCTTGCTTAATGGCAGAATTGAATATGCCTGATATTATTATTTTTATTTTTATATTTCCTATTGCTTTGGTTGTGAAAATGAAAATTTTGTATTTGAATTTTTTTTGAAATTTTTCTTTTTTATTCTCCAAATGGATCCGGAAGCAAAGGTTTAAATAGAATGTATTTTGAACCAACTGATTAAAAATTCTTTTAAATCTTTACTCGAAATGGTTTTAGAAATTAAAGTTTTAAATGAATTTTTTTTTGGGGATTGGGAGCATATTTTTCTTAGCATATTTTGTCTTATTTATTTTAGTTTAAGGCTTATTTTAACCTCTTTCCTTTGATTAATATGTTTGGTGTTATTTTATTTCTAATAAATGAGTTATTTAATTTCCAAATAATTTACATTCATATATAATAAGCTCAGCTGTATTTTAGAAGGTTATTGTAAAATTCCAGCAAGTAAGATGTTACTAGATGGAATTTCATGCTCACAGTTTGGTTCTTCATTATCATCGCTATTTTGTTCGAGACTATTACTACCAGGTTGTGTGTTCTTTTGAGCGCGGATCTCTTCCTTCATACGTCGCATTTTCTCTTGTTTTCGAAATTTGGCCCGTCGATTCTGGAACCAGACCTGAAATTAAGCTTGGTGAACGGATTAGGGAATCGTTTGTAAATTACGGCTTTAATGAGACCTGGGGATCGTCCTTCACCATATAAGAATCAAATGAAGCCTCTTTTGGAAAACAGTTTTTGTTTATTTGAAAGCTTTAATTCTTGATGCAAAGTGAATTTTTTCCCATAATCCCTCTGTCGCCAAGGAAGCACTAAGCAAACAAAGAATTTGTGAAAGTCAACCTGTACTCGAGCCTCTGTGAGGTCGATTCTCATTGCTAGATCTTCCCGAGTGTAAATATCCGGATAATGGGTTTCCATGAATGCTCGTTCCAGTTCTTTTAGCTGTGTAGATGTGAATGTTGTTCGAATCCTACGCTGTTTCCTTCTTTCCATTGGATTATTCCTACCACAAATTGCACCTTTAATTGATACGCTGCTTTCATGGATAAGTAATCAAACCTTAGAAATATAATATTTCGCATAGGTTTTAAAATATAAAGATTTTGTCTTTTTTTTTTTGGAGAAGAAGTGACTATCATTCTCGAAGGATTGATCATTGATGATCGACTATCCTTATTTTTTTTAAGGAAAAGAAAATTACAGAATTAACAATAATGACTTATTACCAACAAGTGAGGATCCTTGTATGCCAGCCATCAAGCCCGCTGTATTAGCTCGCATTGCATCAGCTGTTGAGAGGAGAGATGTTTGATTTTGATACAATTTATACTGAAGTCCTTAAATTTCATGAATTAATTAGTACATGGAGACTGATCTTGCAATTTTAATGAATTCATTAATCTAATTTATCCTAATCAAAAGTAATGGAATTCCACAAATTTCCTGATTGCTTTATTTGGAATGTATAATTATACGATAATTGTGGAAATAATCACGTATCAGTTATCTTATCAGGAATTAGAATCCTATAATTCTATTTCAAGAATCACGCGAAATCCTTTATCCTAAGAACAAAGCTGAATGTTTCCAATTTAAACAAAAAATAAATTATAAAGGGATGATTTGACGAAGCTTAAGCATGACATCATGTAAGATTTGATCCAATTCTTAACCTCTCACGTTTTTTCATTTCTTACTTTCAACCATTTTTTTTTTTCAATCCAAAATCACTTTCAACTTCCGTTAACTCATTGCACTGAACAATTTATTTCCTTTTTACGTCTCATCAATTAACGCCTCTTTCATAATGATTCTCAAATCTTTAGCCGAAGAAAAGCTATTTCACTATGAAAAGGAATCGTTTAATAGTTTAAAAATTAAAATGTTGATGTATAGAAGTAATGATATTACATTTTTCTAAAATATTTCCATCTATTAGAACAGATCTAAAATATTTCTAACTATTAGAGGAGTTTTAGAAAGATAATTTAAAAAATGTCAGAAAATGATAACAATTTAAGGTCAAAGATATGATTTTTTTTTAATGTATTTAATTAACTAAGTTGTCTAATTTTACTCACCATATTCCTAATTACAAATAATTATAGGAATCATTCCATGAGCATAACACATAGTATTATAAATTCTAATATGAAAAAGGATAGTGAGAATAGTTTACAATTGAATCTTAAAGAAAAAATTAATACTTTTTTGTTAAAAAAGAAAGGGTAAAGAAAAAAATTTAATTTTTAACGAAACACAATTTTTTTTCAGAAATCAAACAATTTTTTGTGAAAAAAGAAAAAAACGAACATTATGATGTAATAATTGTTTTGCTATAAATCATTTTTAGAACATATACGCACACAAGAAATTTTACAGAGTTGAATCCGTTAAACCGGAAAATGAATTACCTGTTTGTAAAAAAGCTTGTAAAGAATCGGTTGTACGATAGGGTTGTGCAGCGCTTGTATTAGTAATTGTCTTTGTGGTAGAACTGGTTTGTACCGAAGTTTGTAACATGGACTGATGATGCCCAACGGTCAGATGTCTGAAAAGTTAAAAATGTAATTTGCATTTTATGATTCGGAAAATTGTAATTTTATAATTCGGAAGAGAAAATTTTGTCTTTTCTTTTTTTTCGATATATGAATAAATTTTTGAATTATTTCCGAAATTTAAATTTTTCATTTGTATAAAAATTGATGATATGAGATGCAGGATTTGTTCACCTCGTACTTCCGGTCAATTGTCCATATGAACTTGCATACTGTTCATAAAGTTGCTGCTGTTGTTGTTGCTGAATGGTACTACTGTATGCTGTAGCCATTGATGATCCATTCGTATTTGTTGCTGTTGTAAAATTTAAATTTGGATTTAAACTAAATGCATCAAAAGTATTTCGATCATAACCAGTTGTTACAGGAGCCGTTGTAAAATAGCTACCATAATCTACCATATTCATCCTAAAAATATGATTATCTATTTCTGTTGATTATTTTTTACCTCTGAAAACAATAAAATAAGTAAAAAACTTTGTGAAAATAAAAAGCATTGTTGTAATTTTAAAAAAAAATTCTGAGAAAAAAAGGAGGTGAAAAAATTCTTTTTGTAAGAAAAATTTCAAGAAATTCGAACGAATATTTGGAGTGCATATGTACGGCTCCATCATTTTTATGCATCGATCAATATTTCATATTAATGATAAAATTTATCTTGTTTGATTCAATCATTAAAAAATTCGCTATCAATTAATTTTAATATCAATGTTGCAATGATAATTCTTTTATCTTTTTAGATCTTAGACTATCGCATTTTAACTGGAATTTATTCTGTTAATACACTGACCGAAAATGTTCAATCTGCTTTTGCAGATTATAATTTAAAAATATATTAAAATCGATGTATTATGGTATAATTTTTTACACTACCGTAGTACAGATATGATAGACAACAACATTTGGTGGTTTAAATTAATTTGAATTTATCAATTGTAATGAATAAAATCTCTTGTGTTTGAAAAAGACAAATGAAAAAAAAAAGTGAAGGGAAGCTAATGAATAAACATAATCCATATTGGAAATGTAAAAATCAATCAAAGCGATTAGTCTGAAACGATGAAATCATCATCTGCGAATTCGGTTCAGGATATTTATTCAACAAAATTTTGGTCATCCATCCTCGCTCCACCCTTAATTAAGCTTAATGGATCCTTTTTCGTCCAACCACACCAATATATTTGGCTCCTTTCATTCCATTTCATGCTCTTCACAGCTTATATGGCTTGGCTGATTACGGTAAGCATCAAACTTCAAAATGTATTATATTTTCTTTATTTCTCCTTCCCTTCTTTTCTTCCGTCTCTAACGAAGAAGAAACGATACGCGAGATAATTTTTAAATTATTAAAAAATTGATAGAGATTTGAAAATGAAAAATATCAAGGTTAGTAAAAGTTCGATTGATTGTGCAATTTCGATTTTTTTGCTCATTAAAAATTATCAAAAATTATAAACGAAAAATTAAACTGA